GTGTTATTCTCAGCTTTATATACTGTAATAATGATCAATTTGCAAAGTATTTGTTTCACAAGTGAAACATTTGAGCAATAAGGCACAATATGGAAATGTGGTTATCAGATGATAACCCCAGCTTCCTGAAATTGCTTTATTGCAATATTAAATGGATTTCAAATAGTTCACTGGATACAAAGGGCCTCAAAATGTTCATAGAGTTCAATCTATCCCATTAGAATTTTGAACTCACAATGTGTCTTTTGTCTAAACTTTTTTATAATATACAAGAGAGAACTTCATACACTTAAGAACCGTTCTAATTGGCTGATGTGTATTCCACTGGGGAGATTAATTTACAAGCACTATCCAGTTCTGCTAAAACTGCCTCTCAACATTTCAGAAAGTTAATAGTATATTTTCCCAGCCCTGTAAACACATTTTGATCCACAATATAAACTTTAATAGTATTTTTATGACACCTCTGGGGGTGTGGTTATTTAAGCAATAAGACACGGTAGGGTGTGAATTATGGTATAATAATTCCCCACCAACTGCATTGTTAGGCACTGGGCCAAAGGCCAAAGGATCACTGAACACACTAGGTATGAATTATTACATCATAACTCACACTCTGGAGAGTCTTAATGCAATAAGAGAAATGTTTTAAACATGTTTTTAAAATGCAAATACATTTTATAAATGATTATATTTTAACTACATATCCTCATAGTCTTCCAACATGATAAGTTGTTTATTGCAGATATCTGGTCTATATCCCTATATTTTTTCATGTTTATCTTGCAGTTTTGGTCTGTGATTAAATACTTTAAAAGAGGAGCCCACAAACTTATATTTGTTACTCAGATTCATGAAAAAAAAATCAAAAGCACTCTGTGCCCAGAGATACATAGCAACATGCTATTGTTTCTCTGTAGTTTCAGAATGCCTTACACCAAATTTGTATCCATGTTTCCAGTGTAACTATATCAGTGAAACACCTTATAAAGCTATGCTAGCTTGTTTTTTCATATTTCACTTCATTAAGCTATATTAGCATGTAACATAACATTTGAAGGCTTTGTAAAGACAGTTGTTTAAAACCCATCTCTTTCCCACAGCAGATGTTAAAATTTTAGGCAAAGTGGTGTAGTATAGGCATGAACTTTGGATCTGTGCTTTAAACTGTCTTCAATAAGTGTTTACAAATCTCTTGGTAGGTATACACTATGATCATAGCAATGGCTGCAGTATAGTCTTAAGGTACCCAAGCTAGTTTTAAACAAATTAGTTTTAAACAAGTAGCAGTCTGGCTATTGCAGCATGGAGCTCAGTGCAACCTAGGGACGTGTCTAGAAGTCTAAGCACATACTCCCACAATGCTCCTGAAAGTCACAGACACAGAGATCAAAAGCAGCAATGACGGGCTTTCCTTAGGATGGTTTCACTGCCTCATTTCCAAATCGGGTGCATATGGCGTAGGAGTGGGTGACCATGGTGTACTTCTCAACAAGACTCTCAAGAGCACCACATAACTAGTATACACACCTTGTACTCCACGCTGCCCCTCAAATCTGTTTTTTTAGCCTTTTCAGACCTTCATGCTATTACAGCTAGACTGAACCTACCAGTTTAAAACTACTACTGGTACTTGGGTTTGCTGCTGAGACTGTTTTGGCACTGAAGGTTATGAGACACAGCTTTTGTCAGGCCTATTAGACAGCAAATGAGTGTCCGTTATCTGGCTGGAAGCCACAAATTCCTGAGTTCTCATCATAGCTTGTGGTTACAAGCCAATTTTATGTACTTTGTCAGTCGACTACATCCTCAGCTGGTGAAGTGGAACTAGTAGTTTAAGTCAATGGGTGGCCCCATTTACACCTGCTGAAGATATAACCCAATATCTCAGATTCCTGTGTCGAAATGAGAGTGATGGCTATACACATGGCTTTGTGAGCTAATTCCTCCTCCCCCAGCACTTCATTAATATAAAGAGCTCTGGCTGTAGTAAGTACAGCGGCAGTCTAATCAGCACACAGTTAGTTTTAAAGATAATCAGAATGAAGGCAACCAGCTATGCTGAATTTTCCTGGATGGTTCCTAATTTTGTAGGGGGTTGAGGGCACAGGTATACTGTGTATGGTTTAGGAAGGGGCCACTGGCTACCTTCTGAGGTGGAAGCAGTATAGAGATGTTTCTGAGGCTGCATATCTGAACTAATTGGCTCTATCTCCCAGCGTGGCTAATTTCTACAGATGCAGCACTGTGTAGATATTAGCCCACCCCCAGCACCGTGCCAAGTCATTAACCAGAGCCAGAAATGGTCAGGGGCAGATCCAGGGGCAGCACAGCGTTGCAGTCATACCCCCATTCGATTTCTGGTCTACCAAAGTTTAAAACAAACTGTCAGTGCAACAGCATTTCTAGTCAGGCAACAGTGAGGGAGTCACTTGACCTCATGGCTCATTATAATCTACCTGATTCCTTTAAACATTTAAAACAGTATTAAACAGTATTAATATTCCACTAATCAAGCTATTCTTTCCTCTGAAATTCTGCTGTCTCTTAGTTCCTCCTAGTAATATATCTCCTATTGCACAGCCCTGCAGGTTGTTTTTAACTCTAGCTAAAAACACACCTTTCAGTGACATTTTGGATGCACTGTCAAGATGCTCAAGAAGGCTTGATTTTGTTTTATGACTCTGAAAGAGATGTACATTTTATAAGGACTACATGATTAAATAAACATTTCTTTCATTATTTTTGCCTAGTTTGTTCTGTTTTCTAATACAAAATGCATGATATAGAAAATGCACATTCCAAATTAAATTATATATTTTTTGCTTTGATCTTAAGCTGGATAATGCAGCTTTAGGCCCCTAGCATATTAGTGAAGCTTCTAGTATATTTTTCCAGGAGAAAAATATGTATTGTGTGATATACAATGATGCACCACACTATCTGTATCCCCCCTTTTCAAAATCCTAGATCTACCCATGGAAGCTGTATTCCAGTTCCAGAGGTTTGTGGGGAACCTGGGACTGTTCGTTGAATGGACTGTATCCTAGATTTTGTTCCCTAAAAGGTGGTTGCTTTAACCATAGTCTCTACCTTTTTTTGTTTACCTTGAATGTTTGAATCCCTAGTAATAGAGCAGATTTAATTCTGCCTAGTGAACAAGGCAGTTGGACCACTGAGGCCCAAGTCTGAGAGAGCTTTTTTCTTAAACAAACACAACTGAAATGGTATTTTGCTTCTCAGCTGGTTTGAAACTTCCTTCAAGCTGAAAGAAAACATTTTTCTTTCTTCAGCTAAATCTAAAAAGAGTTTTTCAAACAACTTCCAGCTAGAAATGAGTTTTATAACAGCATATGTTTTTAACTGCTAGCTAAAAATACATTGTAAAAAATACAATGTACCGGTTCCCTGATGGAATGAAAGGCAGACTAGCAGGCAGAGTGCCTCAACTAGCGCTAGATGCCACAAAGTCTTAAAAATGAGCAGCCCCTGACAAAATATCTTTATATATATGTGTGTGTATATAAATTATACCTTTTTATTGGCAAAGTAATATTTCAGAGACTGCTGTACAGTCTCTAACACATTTCTAGCAGCGTGCTATTCACATACATTAATATCATTGCTCAGAACTTATGGCCTCCAACCAGAATGCTCCACTTTCCGAAACCATTTCATTACATGAAATCTAAGGTATAAATGAATCATGCACTGTATTACTATAGGGACATAATCCTTTGATATACCCATCTCCATGAGGCCTTGTGGCTTATATTAGTAAATCACAGTAGTACTTTCATACCTCGTTACTATTATGTATCTTTCCACTGACACCAGACCTTATGAATAATCAGCCATGAATTTTAAATTGGTCTTACAATCTAAATGAATACCTCATTATTTCACACAATCCTGAATGAAATAAGATTTGATATGAAATTAAAAGAATTCACAGGACTCTCATTCGGAAAGAGAGCTGTAGTCAAAAAATGGTCTTCTCTACTTCTTAAACATGAACAGCATTAAACAGCACCTGCAAATGCAAGTTTTATATGGATTTCAAAAGCTGACTTTAAGATCGACATCACCAGCTGTAGAATTGCAATACTGAATTGACAGCGTTGGGTACATTATTAAAGATAAACTGTGAAAAAATACCAGTACTGTATTTATTACCTGTATTCTGAAGAAAGAACAACAGCACCAATTGCATAAAGTTATAAAATACCAGTAATAAACATGTAAATAATAATTGTGTTTGCAATTCCAATAAAACACAGACATCTACAAAGAAATATCATATATGTATACATGTAATATAATAAAACCAATCATTAAGCTACAAGAAACATCATATTATTATACTATATAAAACAGCTGTACAGTTACACAGAAATGCACTTGATCTCTCCAAAACTCTCTCCCAGTCCTCACTTACCTAACATAGAATTTGTTCATTGTTCATGGGAGAGCAGTAACTATCACGTATTTTAAGCTATGTGCTTATAGTGCAGTTTGTCTCCATATATATATATATATTTATATCTATATATATATAAAGAAAAGAAGGAGCACACATA